GTTCCTCCCTCACGTCTCTCCCTCATACTTCTCCTTCCTCATACCCCCCTCCATCTTCTCCCTCATACCTCCCTCATACTTCTCCTTCCTCATACCCCCCCTCCATCTTCTCCCTCATACCTCCCTCTTCTACGTATCCTAATTCATTTTAAAATGATTTTGTATCACCTTTTGTTACAGTATTTCAACAATTCTTTTATGTAACTATTTTTTCCTTCTGTCTCTTCAAGTCTTGTGTAAAATCAATTTCGTCTGTCGCTTTGGTGTTCTATAATTATGCTTTACTCTCTCTCTCTCTCTCTCTCTCTCTCTCCCTGCTACTGTAATTACCTTCGGTGACTCTTGGCATAATCCGAGCTCAATACGCCTATGTTCCTCACGTGACCCCATAGACGTGTTCCGCGCGTGTATGGGGTCATGCATTCAGAAGACTTTCTAGATGTGAACCTTCAGTGAGGCTTATAGGCTCGGTTTACAGCCTGGACCAACCGGGCTGTGATGGGTATGTAGGCCTGCGAGCCGCTCCAAGCAACAGCCTGGTGGACCAAACTCTCACAAGTCAAGGCTGGCCTCGGGCCGGGCTTGAGGAGTAGAAGAACTCCCAGAACCCCATCAACCAGGTATCAACCAGGTATCGTTTACCTCTGGGAGTTTATTCCCCCCTGCTAGCGTAGACTTGACTAAATGTTAACTCCGTCAGTAGAACTATTCACCTCTGAGGTGGCAATATAAATGAATGCGAAAGAATTCACAGAATTCAGAGACGACTTTTGTCAATGGCGTTCAAGAGTCCTACTTCATAGTGAGGAACTGATAGGAATCTTAGCTAAGTATCCCAAATTTGCTTACTGTAGGTGCAGCCTGCACATGACTGTAAAGCTGCCGCCCAGTTGGGTGGGTGTGGAGCACATGACTGTAAAGCTGCCGCCCAGTTGGGTGGGTGTGGAGCACATGACTGTAAAGCTGCCGCCCAGTTGGGTGGGTGTGGAGCACATGACTGTAAAGCTGCCGCCCAGTTGGGTGGGTGTGGAGCACATGACTGTAAAGCTGCCGCCCAGTTGGGTGGGTGTGGAGAACATGACTGTAAAGCTGCCGCCCAGTTGGGTAGGTGTGGAGCACATGACTGTAAAGCTGCCGCCCAGTTGGGTGGGTGTGGAGCAAGACTAGTAACTGTGTGACTCACCATAGATGTAAAGTGCCTTGTATAGTGACTGTTGTGAACCTCTTGTTGAACCACTTGTGATATACACACATCAAAAGTACTTGTGTTTGTAAATACATATATACATGTATGTGTATGCATGTCTATGTATGTACAGTATATGTAAATATTGAAACATTGTGTAACTAGCTTCACAAGCTAGCCATAGGCTAATAACTAGCCTATGGGGGGTTCAGTTCCTGAACCCATTACGTGACTCTCTAACCCTCTCCACCACCGCCCACAGGATGGGTATGGGGTTATCTTGAGGTTATCTTGAGAAGATTTCGGGGCTTTAGTGTCCCCGCGGCCCGGTCTTCTACCAGGCCTCCACCCCCAGGAAGCAGCCCGTGACAGCTGACTAACACCCAGGTACCTATTTTACTGCTAGGTAACAGGGGCATAGGGTGAAAGAAACTCTGCCCATTGTTTCTCGCCGGCGCCTGGGATCGAACCCAGGACCACAGAATCACAAGTCCAGCGTGCTGTCCGCTCGGCCGACCGGCTCCCTTGGGGTGCATAATAGATGAACAGGATAAACCCCCCCCCCCCCCACCAAGACCTCTGACGGAGTTGCAGACAGGATCCGGTTACCAGTTTCCAGTCTAAAGCGCCAGTTTGTACCCGCTGCGTCACTCACTTGGGTTCGAGCCGTTGACTGGTGTCTCCGATCACCAGATGTGATCCTTTGGAACCTTTCCAAAGGTTACGTACGGCCGGACCCCAGTCCGTCCTCATAAACAAAGGGTCAAAGACCATTCCATCCACCCGCCAACCCCCCAGCTGTTTATGAATGCAAAACGGTTTACACACGACTCACAACTGATGACGTTCGAACACTTCCGGAACAAGTGCTTCACTGACGACTTGTGTTCGAACCACAACGCTGTAAATGCTTCACCCACGTACTACAAATACAAATAATCACCAACAGAACCTAAACACCTAACTTAACCTATGCCTATATATGCACAATATGCTAATATATTATAATATTAATTTATATTTGAGAAAATTCCTGTTTCGAATGAATAGCGTGTTAAAATTGATAAATGCGTCTGTGGGGCCGACCGCTGGATGGAATGGACTTGAGTCGAGGACGGGCTGGAAGGAGACGGCCCCAGCTTTAACGAGCCTCGACATGAGAACGTGTTGAACTATGAGTAGGCTGCGTTTGGCTAGTTACGCAAACGACACTCTCAGATAAGTTTAGGGACTTTGGGTAAGTTGTTGAAGAGTTGGCGTAGTTCGGGTAAGGTCTGAAGGGTATGGGGGTGGGTTAAATTTATTGGTCCCCAGAGCAAGACTTCGAAGCAGACTTCGAAGCAGACGACTTCGAAACAGACTTCGAAGCAGAAGACTTCGAAACAGACTTCGGAGCGCACGACTTCGATGCAGACAACTTCGAAGCAGACAACTTCGAAGCAGACGACTTCGAAGCAGACGACTACGAAGCAGACTTCGAAGCAGACGACTTCGAAGCAGACTTCGAAGCAGACGACTTCGAAACAGACTTCGAAGCAGACGACTTCGAAGTAGACTTCGAAACAGACTTCGAAGCAGACGACTTCGAAGCAGACTTCGAAACAGACTTCGAAGCAGACGACTTCGAAACAGACGACTTCGAAACAGACTTCGAAGCAGACGACTTCGAAACAGACTTCGAAGCAGACGACTTCGAAACAGACTTCGAAACAGACTTCGAAGCAGACGACTTCGAAACAGACTTCGAAGCAGACGACTTCGAAACAGACTTCGAAGCAGACGACTTCGAAACAGACTTCGAAGCAGACGACTTCGAAACAGACTTCGAAGCAGACGACTTCGAAACAGACTTCGAAGCAGACGACTTCGGGAGTGCTGGAAAGAGACCCGGCGGTCGGGACTTGTTGAGTCCTGAACGTTATCGCAGTGACAGTATCGTTGGACTACGCATACACACAGCTCCCAGACACTGACCCCAGGAACACATACACACACACATACACAGCCCCAAGAATGTACACATACATACAGCTCCCAGACACTGAACCCAGGAACACATACACACACACATACACAGCCCCAAAGAATGTACACATACATACAGCTCCCAGACACTGACCCCAGGAACACATACACGCACACATACACAGCCCCAAAGAATGTACACATACATACAGCTCCCAGACACTGACCCCAGGAACACATACACAGCCCCCAAGAATGTACACATACACACAGCTCCCAGACACTGAACCCAGGAACACATACACACACACATACACAGCCCCAAAGAATGTACACATACATACATACAGCTCCCCAACGGCCATTTGCATACAGCAGAGGAATAAAACAAATACAATTGCTGCCACATTTGCATACCAATGCAACCGGCAAATGCCGGAGAGGAAATGTGCATTGCTCTTTTGCATACACTGACTGTATGATGAGCAGGCGCTGGCCTGTGAGGTGTATATATGTACACACTTCATCACTATTTCATACAACCCGGTCTCTAATGCGTCGTATTTTGAACGAACGGCTCGAATCCGTATTTGTAACATTAGAGCAGCGAAATATTGACATTGTATATGTGTCGGCCTCCATATGTGTGAAGGCTGAGTGTGTGTGTGTATGAAGGCTGAGTGTGTGTGTGTATGAAGGCTGAGTGTGTGTATGAAGGCTGAGTGTGTGTGTGAAGGCTGAGTGTGTGTGTGTGAAGGCTGAGTGTGTGTGTGTGAAGGCTGAGTGTGTGTGTGTGAAGGCTGAGTGTGTGTGTATGAAGGCTGAGTGTGTGTATGAAGGCTGAGTGTGTGTGTATGAAGGCAAAGTGTGTGTGTATGAAGGCTGAGTGTATGTGTATGAAGGCTGAGTGTGTGTATGAAGGCTGAGTGTGTGTGTATGAAGGCTGAGTGTGTGTGTATGTGAAGGCTGAGTGTGTGTGTGAAGGCTGAGTGTGTGTGTATGAAGGCTGAGTGTGTGTGTGAAGGCTGAGTGTGTGTATAAAGGCTGAGTGTGTGTATGAACTTAGTGTGTGTGTGTATGAAGGCTGAGTGTGTGTGTGTATGAAGGCTGAGAGTGTGTGTATGAAGGCTGAGTGTGTGTGTATGAAGGCTGAGTGTGTGTGTATGAAGGCTGAGAGTGTGTGTATGAAGGCTGAGTGTGTGTGTGTGAAGGCTGAGTGAGTGTATGAAGGCTGAGAGTGTGTGTATGAAGGCTGAGAGTGTGTGTATGAAGGCTGAGTGTGTGTATGAAGGCTGAGAGTGTGTGTATGAAGGCTGAGTGTGTGTATGAAGGCTGAGAGTGTGTGTATGAAGGCTGAGTGTGTGTATGAAGGCTGAGAGTGTGTGTATGAAGGCTGAGAGTGTGTGTATGAAGGCTGAGAGTGTGTGTATGAAGACTGAGAGTGTGTGTGTGAAGGCTGAGTGTGTGTATGAAGGCTGAGAGTGTGTGTATGAAGGCTGAGAGTGTGTGTGAAGGCTGAGTGTGTGTATGAAGGCTGAGAGTGTGTGCATGAAGGCTGAGAGTGTGTGTGAAGGCTGAGTGTGTGTATGAAGGCTGAGAGTGTGTGTATGAAGACTGAGAGTGTGTGTATGAAGACTGAGAGTGTGTGTGTGAAGGCTGAGTGTGTGTATGAAGGCTGAGAGTGTGTGAATGAAGGCTGAGAGTGTGTGTATGAAGACTGAGAGTGTGTGTGAAGGCTGAGTGTGTGTATGAAGGCTGAGAGTGTGTGTATGAAGGCTGAGAGTGTGTGTGAAGGCTGAGTGTGTGTATGAAGGCTGAGTGTGTGTATGAAGGCTGAGAGTGTGTGTATGAAGACTGAGTGTGTGTGTGTGAAGGCTGAGTGTGTGTATGAAGGCTGAGAGCGTGTGTATGAAGGCTGAGAGTGAGTGTATGAAGGCTGAGAGTGTGTGTATGAAGGCTGAGAGTGTGTGTATGAAGGCTGAGAGTGTGTGTATGAAGGCTGAGTGTGTGTATGAAGGCTGAGTGTGTGTATAAAGGCTGAGAGTGTGTGTATGAAGGCTGAGAGTGTGTGTATGAAGGCTGAGAGTGTGTGTATGAAGACTGAGAGTGTGTGTATGAAGGCTGAGTGTGTGTGAAGGCTGAGTGTGTGTATAAAGGCTGAGTGTGTGTATGAAGGCTGAGTGTGTGTGTGAAGGCTGAGTGTGTGTATGAAGGCTGAGAGTGTGTGTGTGAAGGCTGAGTGTGTGTATGAAGGCTGAGTGTGTGTATGAAGGCTGAGTGTGTGTGTGAAGGCTGAGTGTGTGTATGAAGGCTGAGAGTGTGTGTGTGAAGGCTGAGTGTGTGTATGAAGGCTGAGTGTGTGTATGAAGGCTGAGTGTGTGTGTGAAGGCTGAGTGTGTGTATGAAGGCTGAGAGTGTGTGTGTGAAGGCTGAGTGTGTGTATGAAGGCTGAGTGTGTGTATGAAGGCTGAGTGTGTGTGAAGGCTGAGTGTGTGTATGAAGGCTGAGTGTGTGTATGAAGGCTGAGTGTGTGTGTGAAGGCTGAGTGTGTGTATGAAGGCTGAGAGTGTGTGTGTGAAGGCTGAGTGTGTGTATGAAGGCTGAGTGTGTGTATGAAGGCTGAGTGTGTGTGTGAAGGCTGAGTGTGTGTATGAAGGCTGAGAGTGTGTGTGTGAAGGCTGAGTGTGTGTATGAAGGCTGAGTGTGTGTATGAAGGCTGAGTGTGTGTATGAAGGCTGAGAGTGTGTGTGTGAAGGCTGAGTGTGTGTATGAAGACTGAGAGTGTGTGTGAAGGCTGAGTGTGTGTATGAAGGCTGAGAGTGTGTGTGTGAAGGCTGAGAGTGTGTGTGAAGGCTGAGTGTGTGTATGAAGGCTGAGAGTGTGTGTATGAAGGCTGAGAGTGTGTGTATGAAGGCTGAGTGTGCGTATGAAGGCTGAGTGTGTGTATGAAGACTGAGAGTGTGTGTGTGAAGGCTGAGTGTGTGTATAACGAGTGCGTCTCAAGCTAATCCGAATCGGGCGCCAGCTCCCGAGTGCCCACCTCTGAGCCACCAATCGACTAATGTATATATATATATATATATATATATATATATATATATATATATATATATATATTATATATATATATATATTAAACCTTTGCACAACCCCCTTACGAAACCGCTACATCTTTCTCAATCACGACAGCTATGTTTGAAAATATTTAATAAACATTTACCCCCTGAAGCCCAACGAGGTGGTTTGTAGTAATAATAATCTTAGATTGTGATCTTTAGCAGCTCAAACTGTTTAATAAATGTGAAAACCGCCATGATTGAGAAAAGATAAACAGGTTTCGTAAGCGCTTGCTGAATCCTGATCCTGGAATTGTTTTTATGTACATTGGTGAGGCAAGTCTGGTAAAGGAGAATTTTTCAATACCAAAAATATTGCGATATTTATATATATTTACTCGATATTTATTTATTTCGATATAAAAAATATCCCTGCCCTTCACCACCTTCCCTGCCCTTCACCACCTTCCCTGCCCTTCACCACCTTCCCTGCCCTTCACCACCTTCCCTGCCCTTCACCACCTTCCCTGCCCTCCACCACCTTCCCTGCCCTTCACCACCTTCCCTGCCCTTCACCACCTTCACCACCTTCCCTGCACCTCCCTCACCACCTTCCCTGCCCTTCACCACCTTCCCTGCCCTTCACCACCTTCCCTGCCCTTCACCACCTTCCCTGCCCTTCACCACCTTCCCTGCCCTTCACCACCTTCCCTGCCCTTCACCACCTTCCCTGCCCTTCACCACCTTCCCTGCCCTTCACCACCTTCCCTGCCCTTCACCACCTTCCCTGCCCTTCACCACCTCCCTCCCTTCACCCCTTCCCTACCCTTCACCACCTTCCCTGCCCTTCACCACCTTTCCCTGCCCTTCACCACCTTCCCTGCCCTTCACCACCTTCCCTGCCCTTCACCACCTTCCCTGCCCTTCACCACCTTCCCTGCCCTTCACCACCTTCCCTGCCCTTCACCACCTTCCCTACCCTACACCACCTTCCCTGCCCTTCACCACCTTCCCTGCCCTTCACCACCTTCCCTGCCCTTCACCACCTTCCCTGCCCTTCACCACCTTCCCTGCCCTTCACCACCTTCCCTGCCCTTCACCACCTTCCCTGCCCTCCACCACCTTCCCTGCCCTCCACCACCTTCCCTGCCCTCCACCACCTTCCCTGCCTTCCACCACCTTCCCTGCCCTTCACCACCTTCCCTGCCCTTCACCACCTTCCCTGCCCTCCACCACCTTCCCTGCCCTTCACCACCTTCCCTGCCCTCCACCCCTTCCCTGCCCTTCACCACCTTCCCTGCCCTCCACCCCTTCCCTTCACCACCTTCCCTGCCCTTCACCACCTTCCCTGCCCTCCACCACCTTCCCTGCCCTTCACCACCTTCCCTGCCCTTCACCACCTTCCCTGCCCTTCACCACCTTCCCTGCCCTCCACCACCTTCCCTGCCCTTCACCACCTTCCCTGCCCTCCACCACCTTCCCTGCCCTTCACCACCTTCCCTGCCCTTCACCACCTTCCCTGCCCTTCACCACCTTCCCCACCACCTTCCCTGCCCTTCACCACCTTCCCTGCCCTCCACCACCTTCCCTGCCCTCACCACCTTCCCTGCCCTTCACCACCTTCCCTGCCCTTCACCACCTTCCCTACCCTCCACCACCTTCCCTGCCCTTCACCACCTTCCCTACCCTTCACCACCTTCCCTGCCCTTCACCACCTCCCTCCCTGCCACCTTCCCACCACCACCTTCCCTACCCTTCACCACCTTCCCTACCCTCCACCACCTTCCCTACCCTCCACCACCTTCCCTACCCTCCACCACCTTCCCTGCCCTTCACCACCTTCCCTGCCCTCCACCACCTTCCCTGCCCTTCACCACCTTCCCTGCCCTCC